TTTTCTAATCGCTAATTCGTGGTTTTCACGGACGAATTTCTCACTTACACGGATGGCGCACTCGACTTTTATCGAATTTAACGCTTTTAAATGATAATTTGCCTACTTCAAAGTTTATTAAGGGTATACAACACATTAAACCCGTCTAACAAAAGGTTAAGTTAGATTCCGACCCATATTTCGTTTAAAAATATTGCATACAGCGCCATTTCCCCCTGGTGGTGAGGTTTCGAACTTCCTTTATTTCGCGAAAAATAAATTCCCATGACATCCTTTACACGATTACCAAGTTTGATAACATTTGATCCAGTAGTTTTCCTTTTATGACCGTTTCAATGTGGAACTTTAATTATAACCACTCTGTATATTATTAAATTTTAATTTGAAGCTATGCGTTATATGTATAACATGCGTAAATTTTTCGCTTTTTTGGAAAATAAAGAATCGAAGCAAATATACTTAGGATAATGTACCAAAACTGAAAAAAACTTTCCTTCACTCCGAAAATAAAATATTGAAACTTTGACCTTGAATTTATTGGGTTATTGAAATATTTAATTTGACTTATCTTCTAAGTCCTAGTTCCGACAACAATTCCGTCAAAAATTCCGAATTACTTAAGCTGAAGTAAAAGATTTAGTATATATTCACTGTATGTTAATAAAATAATCTGAGTGTAATAAAAATAGATTATAGAAATTACGCTGATACAAACTTTTTGTCTGACTGCACAACATGTAATGGAAGAGAAGGCTTGCAGAGATTTGTTTTTGACATGCCTCTAAAAGTAGACGTCATACTCCTTTTGTCTCTTCAATGTCAAAAATCTTCCTTTTGAGAGGCAACTTTAGTTTTTCGGAAAGAAAAAAAATCACAAGAAGACAAATTTGAGGAACATGCAGGACGATTGAGTACACATACTTATTTTCGGAACACAAGCGGTTCTCCGACTTGTTATTGAATAATGAAAAGATGCACTGTCATGCAATACAAAACATTTGGAATACGTTTTCTGACTGAAAACGTAAGATTAAAAGTCATCTGCTTAATTCACAGCCATTTACAAGTCAACTACTCGGGCAAATGCAGAATCGTTTTGATCCTGAGCTTGTAAGACAAACCTAATATCACTGGATCTAAACACTTCTTTAATGTTCCGAGAACGTTCTTGCTTCTTTAGCCCATATTCCCAGAATATTAAGTGAATACAATTATTGCAAAAGAAATTGAATATTAATTTGCACTACGGCTTGGTAGTTTACTAACGGATTAACAAAACTTAAATTCTGCTTTTTGTGTCTAAGAATACAACAATATTTTAAATATTTACAAATAAAATATTAAATTGGAGATTTAATTGGAGCCTCACCAGTTGCCTAGCATTTGAAGATTGTTAAATGCTAATTGTTTGTTGCGAAGTCTAACCTAGGCTGCATGGTTGGTTTTCGTAGTTTTCTAGGTTCTCTTTACAAAGGTTCTCTATGAAAGCATCTTAATCAAATAGCTCCCATGTTCTTTCTATGTTCAAATAACCAACTAACCTAGTTTAAGCGCGATTTCCAAGTGAAGTTACTAGCAAAACCCGAATCTCATTAAAAATCATGTAGCTTGCCAATCGGGAGTAACATGAAAGATACGGCGCCAATAATTGTATTGCTGTTACAGTACGCTGTTTCAAACTTAGATGGTCATTCCTGAATTAAATAGCCCACCAGCGGCCGAGCGGTAAAAACGCTGAATACTGGTAGTTCGGTCCGAGTTTCGAATCCCGCGAACGGGCTGGCCGCATGGGCGTTTTCGTGGTTTTCCCCATGTGTAACGTGTATACGAGCCAGTTTTCCTTAGAAAGTCCTCCACGAAGGTGTCCCTCCCTTTAGGCAGATAGCGCTCGTGTGCTTTGCCATAATTAAATAATCCAATCCAATCAAGTCCTTAATTAAATATAATATATTTGTAACTTCTACTAGAGCTGACGGTAAGAATTGAAGTCCAAATAAATAATATCGTGTGCAATCTTGATTAATATAAAATTAAAAAATATTTGAACAGAAAAATATTTGCATTCATACAGAAAGTTTTTTGAGATATTTGCAATAACTTTATAAGAAGGATTTATTAATAACCGTAATAATTACTTATTATATTACTGATGATTAGGATTCAGTTCTTGACAATTACATTCTAAATTAGAATTTTAAGGATATAATGAAAATACGCTACGCACAAAAATATATTTTAGGATAAAAAATGAGTTGATTTTTTATGTTTTAAAACTTATTAAATTCATTTAATAAACATCGTATCCTCGTCGTTAATTGAATCCAGAATGTTGGGTGTCGTTTATATAATTATTCTTACTTGTCCACAGAATCTGCTGACTTATCCAGCCATTAAGTAGCTGCAGATCATTTCTACATAACCATTGAACTTCCATTAATTCAGTCTCTAGAGGGTTGTATGTTTATATCATAATTTGACTTCCATAAAAATGATTATTCTAAATCTTATGTTTCTATAAAAATATACTGTGTTTAAAAATGTGCTTTAAAAATGTGCATTTTTAAGTGCTTTAAAAATGTGGATGATAATATCAGCCGCTCTTTCAGAAACTTCAAAAGCAACAGTTTGTTTAGAAATAAATTATGCAGTTAATGTCATAAAATTTAAATAAACATCAAACGAAAATTCTCAGTTTTAGACAATTCGATTTAAACGAAGTTAAAGTAAAGTAGCAGACGATAAAACGCCGAAGGTAAAAATTTGCTCTTACAAAAGTTTACACTTATTTTTTTTAAAAAAAGGAAGAAAGAGAGAAATTTAAAAAAAAATAGTTAAAAATTTGAATATATCATCTATAATTTAAAAAAATAGCTTTTTATATAGTATTAATAAATATTCATTACGCATCATTGAGGGAAAATATTTCATATAATTAATTTTCCGCAAAATTTTACTTGAAATTTAAGGTTAAAAATAGCTATGGCAATTCACTGTAACAAAAATCCATTAACCACATTTGGCGTTATTATGGCTCAAAAAAATGATGCCAAATTTCAAAACGCGAAAATATGTAAACTCGTGTATATCTTAGAAAATTTTGAATAAAAAAGTCTAATTTTTTGCAGATATGCTTAAAAATACACCTACTTTAAGATGATGGTAAAAATTTTATAGGTTATAATTCAAAATTTTTTTCGAAAAATTTATAAAAATTATTTAAAATAGAAATAAAAAATAAAACACAAAAAATGGGTAAATTTTATTTGGAATGAACTTAAATTTCGAAATGTGAGAGAAAAATAAAAAAAGTTTAATAAAAAAAGAGATATTAATAAATATTTGCCAAATTCAATTAACATTGAGGAGCTAAAATTTTGAAAGCTAATATTTTAAAAACTACTCGTACAATTTTTACAAAACTTGGCATTCTGGCATAATTTGAGTCGTAGAATCGAAATATGTAAAAAAATTGGTATGTTATTTCAGAAAAAGTCCGATTTTGTGTCAAAATACCTATGTTAGAAATAGTGCTATATATAAATCTAATATATCCTAAGTCGCGCTTTCGAGACATGAAAAACGCAGTTTGAATTTTGTCAATCGGCCCAGTAGAACGGGAGATATAGCACTGTCCCCTTTTTTTTTTTTTTTTTTTTTTTTTTTTTTTGAGCAGTGTACATAGTGTAATTACAATGCTGTATATAATGTAAAAAGCTAATTGTCTTCAGACTTATGCTGTTACTAAAAAAATGGGCCTATTTCTTAATCTTTAGTCTGTCAAATAACTCTTTGACAGTGAAAATTCATTTTTTCCTTTTCTTAATTTCTTCCTCTTTACGACACGACAATTAGCCAGAAATTAATTAATTTCCATTCACTAGTATATTCAAAATTTTAACAGATGGTTTCACTCACATAAGAACTCCACAACATACGTCCCTCAAGCATTCCTAGTCACTCCCTCTCCCAAAAATTACTTCACACATGTTTCGCCGACTGAAATAATTCAAAGCCGGCGCTGCTAATAAAGAATTTCCGACACAACCCTTCTGAGTAAGACGCGAAGATAACACTTTGCCCACTTCCCACTAGAAAGAACGTAAGTTAATTAATGCTTTTTCTGGCCTTTTATATCTTTATGTACATTCACTTTTCGTATTATATATATTTTTTAAAGTTCAATTTTTATTTTTTGACTTGCTTTTGCAAAGATTGCATTATATTTCTTATATTTCGTAATTTTCTAATGTTTACTTCAATAACTTTGAGTTCTATTTCATAACGGCAATTTCCAATGTTTAATTTTTTACAAATAGTTTTGAATTAAAATGTATAAACACGAGGGTGTCGAGGGACAATTACTCAAGTAATTTATCAATTTTACTGCATAAATTGCTTTTCACTCAAAATTGAATTAGCGAAAATGCTTAATCAGAATGAGTTCTTTGGGGCTCTGCATTGGTTTTTGATCCCTTCAATTCATGTAATTATTACTTGAGTAAAGGACGAAACACCTTCGTATTTATTTCTTAATTATTGTTTGTTGAACGGAAGTTGGTTTGTTCCCTTTGAAAAGTCAACTAATTTCCGATCAATGGCAATGATTACTTGATTTTAATTTAATTACTTGCTTTTAACTTAATTTCTTTTTACAATTGGATTTTTGTTATTAATGATTTAATTCTAGTCTCCGTTAAACATTTTTAACGATTTACATTCAAGTTACTTTAAAACAATTTTCGGAATTAAACTTACTAACTATGGATTCACTCTTTTTAGATAATTCTACTAAAATTAATCTCAGGAGATAATATAATCACTATTTCTTTAGTATTTTATCTTACATATATATATATCAGTAAAATACAGTAGTTGAGTAATCTTATTATCAAGTTCAATGAATTATTAATGCAATAAAATTATTAAAAAATAATATTACGTAGTATTTCTTTAAACTGGTTAAATTAATAAAAGCAAAATATTTAATATTTTGTACTCACCTAATAGTATTCTTTCGCAGTTTCCATGAAGGTCTCTAAACCCTGTATTGCATGCGCACATCTTTCGTCCGTAACTGTCGAAAGAGCAATTTCCACCTCGTCCACAACTACATTCTATGAACAGTATACGAATAGGTAAAAGTGGAATGATTATAAATAATATAGAAAGAGAAAGGTACAACAAATTTTTACGTATTATATTATTTAAGCGGGTGCGTTAAATCTAATGCACAGGATATGATAATCGACTTTTTAAGTCAACTTAAGTCACCACATAGAAAAATATTGTTTTATGAACTGAGATCTGGTAACGAAAACATTCTACAATCACGTCCTTTAGGAAATTCTGTAAATAAATCTTTTAGGAAAGATTTTTTGAATAAATTAAAATTTCTTTGAATGTATTGTCGAATGCTCTTGTTAAAGCTATAACTTTTATTTCAAATACTCCGTTGATTATTTGGGGACGACATAGCTTATTGTCGATACCAAGAATCCTAAAGTTAGTATATTTGTCCAAGAAATACATGGTGTTTTCATCAGTATCCTCATTTATGTATACATATATTGTAACTGAAAATTCGGTAAAAAATAAAGTGTTTAATTAAGCAAGTTGTACTTCAGTGAAGTAAATGATTTATGCCAAAATGAAGATGCAAACGACATACAGTTTCAAGAAAATTAAAGACAAGCTATTATAACTAATATTTACTTAATTTCAGACATCAGAAGCAGCATATTAAATCAGTTTCAGAATGCTTCTCAAAAGGACTGACTATATTGAAACTCATGTGGGGTAGTTCCTGCTCCACTCTCAGTATTACTTACGAAAACTCTACATCGCCACTTTCAACTTACTATTGGGAACCATTTATAATAACAGTCGCAAATTCTTTGCGTATAAACTAGAAGGTCTACAGGACCAAGCGTGAAGGCTTATTATTGAGGCAGTAAAATTCACGTCTATTGATACAATGTTGTTTTGGGCAAATAAAATAATTAAAAATATTATTCAAGAAAGAATTTCAGTACCTTATAAAAAACATATCAGACTTGAAGATACTTTCTGATCGGATTATCAACTTGAAAATAGAAACATTAAGACCCAGAATTCCCATGGAACTGATGGGTCTACAAGAAAAGTTAACTCAATTCATATCAAAAAAGGATACTTCGCCGGCTGCACTAAAATGTATCGCTTTGGGAACTTTTGAGACAAAACGTCTTGAAAGTGAGTGGCTAAGTGTTTATACAGATGAACTACAGCTTTATGAGAACGTTCGAGCCAGTTTTTTCTTGAAAGTTATTTTCCTTCTATACACTAGTTGGAAAGTATGGTACTGCCTTAGTATACTGTGAAGTAGAGGCGATCTATATCGCACTAAATCAGTTAACTTTAATCAGTTGAGTAGAATTAGAAATGCAGTACTGTCAGATTCACAGACTACCATTCAGTCTAGCCGTTCTCTTCAGGCTCCACTATCATGCGAGAGTTTCCAATATCAGAGACTGATTTCCTTGAGATCTTAGCATAAACGCATTGTTTTGCAGTGGATCCCTGGCCATTGTAGCTTACTTAAAACTAAGACTTGACAAAATCATATTATATATCTTATTTGACAATATTTTAAATGTTTACAGAATAATTTTCGGACGGTTTTAAAGTAAATCCGGCTTCTCTAGGTAGCTTTCAACCACTCAAAAAAGAACTGCTGCTTAAACTATAGCAAGAATTTGATTCACACTAAACTTGGAAAGAGAGACTTTTTATCCATAACCTTGGGAAATTAATAGATATTAATTTGTATACTTTTTAATGGACTGAGGATTTTTTTCCATAACTGTATGTATTTGTGGGCAGACTGTAATCTAAACGAGTTAGAATGCGTTATTAGAAAATAGCACTTGATTTGATCGATAAGTCGTAAGGTAAAATGTATTTATTTATTAAACATTTAGAGATACTTATTGATTCAAAATCTACAAGAAAAGAAAATTGCTTTATGGCTTGATTTTGATTTTTATCTGTTTCTAAGGAGGGAAAGTTTACCTCCTTTTCACTTAAACAATTTTCGTTACCATAACTCATTACATGTTATGGAATTAATTTGTCCTTTATAACGTATTATTACAAATTCACCAGAGGCGCTTTTCGACTCCATGATCCTTTAACACTTTTAAGCGTTCAACATGTTAAAACGTTTTCTTTTATCTTGTATACTTACCCGCGCACCATCCACTAAATTGTGCAAATCCTTCATTGCAGGAACACTCCTTTTCTTCGAGAGCGTCTAAAGCGCATTTTCCATTGTGCCCACAGTCACATTCTGTAAAAGGAAGCGAAATTGATAAACAGTAATACCAGTAATACAGAAACGTTTTAACATATGGTATAAAATATTGCCATGTACATTGTTATTATGTTTTAATATTTTATATAAAATATTGTCATAAACTGCCATAAAGAATGAATTGAAAAAGTCTCATGTTCATGAATAGAGTTCATGCTTATTTATGATAAATTAAATATTTGACAGTAAAAAAACTGTAAAAACCATTTCAAAATTACTCTTTTTGCCATTTCAAAACAGTCATGTACAATAATTTGAAAACGCTTTTAAACACATTGCAGTGCTATTAGGGTTTTTTTGGGGGGGGGCGTTTTTATGCCCTTGCCGAGACTCGAACCTCTTGAATACATACGCGCCGCGTGTGCTACCGTTACACCCCGAAGGAAGGTTAGAGAAAATACCTTATAACATTTAAGCACAGTATTTCTTAAATGAGTTCACAACAGTTCATAACTATTAATATGATTTGCAATGATTCATTTATTAAAAAGTAAATGTATTGTTAATTGCTTTTATATATGCACATTATTTTTTCATACTATGGAATATTCATATCATTATGGAATATTCATATCATTTATAGTGCATAATTTCTTACTTTAGCTAAACCACCTGTCAAATAGTAATGCAATGTGCTATACGAGTGTGCAGCAACCCCCCTGGCCGAAAATAATCGGCCTCAGGTACACAGATTAAAACAAAAGTACAGTTAAGAATATGAAACCAAAATTCCCAATATTGTCGTATTGCCATTTATAAAGTTCGTCAAATCCTTTGTAAATCTAAATTCTTTCCTGGGGGGGGCAATATAATTCCTTTATCAAATAGAGGCAAATGACAGTAGCAGCCTTTCAAATAGCGGTCAATGTAAATTTGCACATTCAAGACTTTTATCACGAAGTGCCATCAAGGCATATCCTGCATTTCGAACCAAATTTACGAAAAATATTTTGAAATCCTGTTTCCTCAATAACCCGGACAGTAATAGTAATGCACTTTTTTTAATTATTTAACCCTTTAATAAGTGTCCACTATTTACGATGGTGCATTTAAATCTATTTTGATTAAATTCATTCGCTTATCCAAAGTCTATACTTCACTTCATTTTTCAAACAAAGACATTCTGATTAAATTGGGGTTGTCAAAGAAGTTTTCAAACCCAGATTGTAGAGTCATTAGGTTATTTTGAAGCAGAAGACATGAAAATGAGCAATGCTCTCATTAGGACTCGAACCCGGCTCTCTCGAATATGTGCCGAGTATGCTACCGTTACGCCACGAAGGCATGCTGTAAAAAGAGAGAGAATACCTTATATACTCCCCCTTTAAAAGAGCGACAGGGTATTAAGGGACCTGGTCACCAAATCCTGGTGGTGACGAATCATTGTTCACCATCTCCTAGTTCGGGCGCCATTTGTAGAGGCTTTTTAGAATTTTTCGGAGTCAAGAGAGTGAAGGAATTCTCAATGCCCAAAATGAACTCGAATACGCGCCGAGTGTCCTGCTGTTACACCACGAAGGCACCGGAAGGAGGGAGAAAGTACCTTATGAGTTAAATTTAGAGATTTGCTTCCCGCTTTTTTAAAAGAGATCATAAATAGAAATAAAGATCAAAGGAGATTAGTGAGAGTTTTTGTTTCGGCAATTAATCCAGCTACATTTTGCAGTGTGCGTGCGTATCAATCGCATGTTCAAATTTTTTTACATAAATATACATGTGCAAACTTTGATTATTGACATTTTTTATATAAACATACATGTGTCAGCTTTGACTATTAAATGTGTAAATGAAATTATTCCGAATAAATAATAAAAAAAATTATGTTACGTCATTGTGCTTTGTTCGTTGCTTAAATAACTATCTTAAGAGAAATACGTACTTCCTATGTTTAGGAAAATTTTAACTCAGTCGAAATCAGTTAATGATGAAAGTACACTTTTCTTTCAAAGTATCAAGTTGGAACATAAGCGAATCTTAAAAATATTGGAGCAAAATATGTTTTCAAGTAGTTTTTGAAAGAATAATCAAATATTTAACTTAAGAGAAATGTTTTTCTTATATGTCATATCTTAGGGCTAGATGAAACCGAAAGTTATTAAAATTAAGTTATTCTAATATTAAGTAAATATTAAATTATACACATCTTGTGTACAAACGATAAAGTAACTCTTAAAAAGTTGCTGGAGCTTGCCAACATATTTTTTAAGTACGTAAGGATATTGAACGCCTTTTAAAAGTACTTGAATAATATACTGTATTTCTTTCGCTTTTATAGATTCAAAATTTGAGTTTTTTAGGCATTATTTTACAGGATTTTGATAGCGATTTACTCATTTTCTCCCACTGCAAAATTCGCTTCTGATGGAAGTTTTTAATTTATTAATTTTGTATTTAATCTTATTATTTAATTATGCAAATTATATTTATTAAGTCTGCAAGTTAAGTTATGCTTTTTTTATGTCCTGTACTATTGAATTTAGAAATATAATCGAATTTCAACAATCTGCGGGCTTTTTAATCTGGGTTTTTGCGAAATGAGATCTTGTCCTTCGATTAACTTTGTACAGAAGTGGTTTTCTTCTAGTTGTTCAACCATGAAAATTACATTTTCTTAGGACATTTCTAATTAATAACATTTATTAGTAGACCTGCTAGATATTTGTTGGGCTTCTAAAAACGATTTATCTGCGCTGGATTTAAAATTACGAATAATATTTCTAAGACCCAATTTCTTTTTGCTATCAGTGAAACAGCCTGGACACCCTGTTCATAATTTATCATCTACCAAATCTGTTTTACAGTAATTTGAAATTATACTATTAACAGTAAGTCTGCTTATATTCAATAGTTCACTTGATTTTTCCCGTAATTTTTCACAATTCCAATGAAAGGAAATTTAAGTTTTCTGACATAAAAATTATCATATAGTGTTTTTGTCCCGTGTTAACAAATAATTCCTCAATCTTTAACTTTTTTAAGTTTAAAATCCTTCTTTAATGCGTTTCACTCGAGAAATCTGCCAAAATCGCTTCTTTTATCTTGTTTATTATTTTATTGCTTCAATATTTTTTTACTTTAATTTTTTATTTAATGTCGACATATTTAGGACACTTCATTCATACATACGTTTTACTTAATGTTTTCATAAAAACAAAATTAACACGATATTTAGACAGAGAAGACACGTAAAAATGCTTAGAGTTTGAATAATTGAATGTCTGAAAGTTTCTTACGCCCTAGTACGTTTTCGAGTCAATGTATATCGTTTAAGCGAAGCGTTTTATTTAACGCAAGATAACCTTAAATGAGAAACACCTGTTTATAAAACATTATACTAATGGAATTTAAAAGCGATCTCTGTGTTTGAAGAAGCACAAAACATATTTAATCTACAGGAAGCTTAATTTCCGTCTAGTGGAGAACTTTCGAAGTAAACCAAGCTCGTTGTTTCCACGTTACGAAAACACATATGCAGCGAGCGCGTTTGCACGGGTTCGAATCCAGGCTGAACAATCTACTCTTAGACATCTTAATCCTACGGACACTGAAACACCCAAGCCAATTCCAAATACCAAGAACACCACTTATCAGTAATTCTCGTTTTGAATTTCAGGTCTCATAAAACTCTTTGTAAATTTATTTGTTTTTTAATTTCGTTTCTTTTATATTAATTATTTACTGAAATTAAAATTAAAATATAGATATGAACACAGAATTTTGCCAAGCAAAATATTCCGATTTAAACTACCCGTTATCTGTTTCTGAATTATGTAATGAAAGCTTATATTTCACACTTTATTGAAAGAACTAAGTACAAAGGAATACTTACGGCATGTTTTCGTGAGGTAGTTGAAGTCTGTATTGGACTTCAAGCACTCACAGGAAGCTTTCTGTTTAAATTTTTCATAAACACATTGCACATCAGAACCATAACCACATAAAACCTTATCCCTACAAGCAGAAATTTCGGTACAAAAGTCACCAGTAGTTCCTGGTAAGCATTCGCAGAATTTGAAATTCCGTATTCCATGGCAAATACCACCATTTTCACACTGTTCTGTCTCACAACGTACTAAAAATAAACAGAAACCAGATAAAAACATAATATTATTGAAAGAGTATTTCGATGATTGTTAAATTTAATTTCCTTTCCTTAACATTGGCCAAGTAATTTTATCAATTTTAACTATGAGAAAGAATTGCGTTTTCTTCAGCCAGGATAAAATGAATGACAGAATTAAGAGCGTCATGCAAGTTTTATGTTTTTTGCTGAAGACTAAAGACTTTTCTTAAACAGAAAATAACCATGTAAAGTATATGAGCATGCTGTAAACTTAGTGAAATCATTTAGACTGCAAACTTCTTGGGGTACTCCCATCGACCGTTACCGAAGATTTCAACGACGGTCACCAATGGGCAATCATTACTGAGAAATTCTAAACGACATGGTCATTTACAACTGGTGCTAATTCGCGCTAATTATGACTGTCAACGGGATAAATTAGCCGCTTGATGGGATAATACGTAAGTACTCTTTTGTATAAAAATGATATATTTACTGGGGTTATTTCTAAAGAGTATATCCTTTGTTTAAATAATAATCAAAGATTAATTTAGAAGTCAAGCAACAAAAATCAGCTTCATGTTTTCAGCTTCATGTTTTCAAATTTCCACTGTGAAAATTTGAAAACATAACCCTGATTTTTGTTGCTTGACTTCTAAATTGATACTTGTTCGACGTGTTACTGTACCTTAATCAAAATCAAAGATCTTATTAATTAATAAATTTAATATTTAAACCTTAATGGCATTTAAAATGTTCAATATTATTATAAATAATATCGTAATACATTATAAATTAGCGATATAAACTACGTGTAATGTTGCATTTTAACTTTCGTTTTACGTGTTACAAATTGACAACTACTGACTGAAGTCTCAATTCTTACATGACTTGAAAATACCGCAGGATCAAAAGCATGCATATCGACCAATAATCTCTTAATGTTGTAAATTAGGATTAGGAGTATTTGGATCATAGCAACACAGTTGACAAGTAACTGCGTTAACGAATGGATGCCTTCATTGAGGGCATTTAAGGGAAACTAATTCATATTCAAGAAGACATGCGATGTAATAATTGAACATATCCGTTTGTTATATTTTAAATCCTATTTTAGTAACTAGGAAGTCACAATGAGTTCCTAAGAAATATCTCCGAAAACTTACTTAAAATGTTTTGCACTGCAATTAACTTTCACCTATGAGTATTGAGGTGTATGTACTTTGTAAGCAAAAGGCTTGGGTAATATTGTAAGAACTACTTCTCCTCCTTTAATTCTATAGATGAACAGGTATTTTCATTAGGTATACGAAAAATTCAATTTGCAGTTTTGAATGTAATTCTCTCATTAGAAACTTAAATCATTAAGCTATGGATCCTGGGGGGGGTCTGATTTTGTACCATATTAACTGAACAGTTTGAAAGCTGGAACTTGCATCCGCACATTTCCTGCTTGCGATCAAAGTACTTCCTAGATTTCAAGTACTCACATTCACATTCACTTCGAGCACTATCATAAAAATACGCTGAATCTTTACTACAAAAGTTATGTTCCTTACATTTCGTAATTTAGGAGCAAAGGTCGCCTGATGTTGTTAGTAAACACTCGTAAAATTTGTAATCCCCATGCCTGGTGGAATTTCCATCATTATCATAGTTACCTTCTTGACATGGTTCTGAAAAAATAACACGAAATAGGAGTTATACGGTATCTGGGATAACTGGAGCCGTAATCACATCGTATAATCGAAAACGAGGTATTTTTAAACACAGTAAATTAAATTTTTAAACCAAGTAAGTTTTTCATTAGACACGATCTTCTGAATTTGGTTATTTGAAGTTCTAAAAATAAAAATACAATTATTATTATTTTTACGGAATGTTTCATTCCTAGGTAAAATTTGCTTCCTTCAGTTAGCAAATATTTCATAGATAACTTCACTTCGGAGCAAAAATATTCATGGGGAAAAAACTGGAATAAACAAAATCCATCAAAATTTATGCAAATTGTGAAATTTCTTACATGTTTTTTTATGAGGCTTCCCCCTTCCTGAAAGAATGTTAAGGTTTTTGCTATAGTATTAGAATTTTATCAGCTAGCGCATGATCATGACAGTTTTTTTATCAAACAATATCCACAGTAGAAGCATCAGAACGTTGCTTTAAATAATAAAGCTGGCTTTAAATCCTATTTGCCGCTGAGCTGTAAAACCACTGGACATTGGTAGTTCAACCTAAACACAAATTCAGGTGAAAAGGCTGGTTACAGGGCACTTTTCGTGATTTTGCACAAATGAAACGTTCCATTTGACATTAAAACGTGCTCAACGAAGACATCTCTACCTTTAAGCAGAGAACCCTTCTGCATTTTGCTATAATCATAATAAACAGTAACTCAGTTTCATCATAATTAATTTTAAGATGTCCGTTTCGTGGTCGTTCTCAGCATTATGACGGCAATTTTTATTTTTCTCTATATCTACGCAAAGCATGATTTCACTATAACTCAAAACTTGAAAATTTGGTTTCGTACTTTTTTATATTTACCCATAAAATTATCCTTTTACCCTTTCAAACATGTCGATGAATTAATATTCAATTAGAGCTTTCTTACATCTTTTAGCATGATGCACAATAGGACAGTCATTATATTATTCATAACTGCACCCAAAGTATATAAAGCGCCAAAAGATTTAATGTCTTGCAGATATTATTGTTCGTTTATTTTATTGTTTCATCGAAATGTTATTCACATTTTAGTTTAAACAACTATTTTTATTTAAAATAATATGCATAATTTTAAAGATAACAATTAATGGATCATTAATGGACACATGTTGTTATTAAATTGGTGGCGCAAACCAAGAAAGAGAGCACCGTAAAGTAATTGTGTTAGAAAAAAAAAACTAATTTTTAAATACTGAAACAAGAATTTTGTTGATTAGAAACGTAAAAATTTTACATATTTGAAAATTTTAAGGAAGGTTTAAAAATGACCTTTTTCAAGCTTATGGCTTATTTTCGTCAACCCATAAATATTTCAAAAATTAACACAAAACTAGTATTAGTGTAACAGTTTTAACAGTAAATATTGCAACAGTAATCAGTATTAGTATTTTTAACAAAAACTACTAACACTAAAGCACAAACTATAAATTCCTCATAGCTTAATAAAATATTGTCTAATATTAATCATCCATACGTAGCACGAATTTACATCGTATTGAATAGAACAGAAAGACAACGTAATTTACCTTTGCAGATTTTTTCCTTGTAATCAAACTGTTTACTAGAATTTGAGCATTGACATATAGCTTCCATTCGAAACCTATCGTAAGTACATTTAACATCGTTATCCGTACCGCAAAAATTATCTTGTTTGCATTGCATAATTTCAGAGCAATTGTCGCCTCTTGTTCCTCGCAGGCATTCACAAAATTTGAAATCCCCGTGTCCAGTGCAATTCCCGCCATTTCTACAGTCACTTTCTTGACACGGCTCTGAAAAATTTGCGAAACTGTAGATACAATAATTAGAATATGAAATAAATGTTGAGGTGATGAGACACTTTTAGAATAATAATATCTCGAAAACAAAAAACGTAAGAGCCGTTTAATTAATGTTTTCAATGTAATTAGATCTATTATCGCAGTCTATAGTTTTGAAAATAGTACTATGCAGGTGTAATAATAATATGTAAATTATAAAGTAAAAGTAGCATTAAATAATTAAAATTTTGCAGAAGATAATACTGACAAAGAAAGCTGTTGGACCTCCTTATGATAATCGCCTTAGACTTTAACAGATAAATAAATATGGGAATAAAATAATAAATGTAGCTTTTAGTGAATGCTCTCAACCACAGAACATGGAGTATAGAGTGTCGCGTGTCTAAAATATTTGCTGGCATAACCTGGTAAATGAAAGTATCTGAGTATTACTGAATCATTGGGTGTTAAGAAGCATTTCTGTCAAGTGGTATGAGTGTCGTATGGGAGCGAATATTTCTTCATCAATGTGGTGCAGAGCTTTATTGGCTGCTAAAACGTTGTGTCTCTGAGTAAAATATAGATTATAAAATTTGCCATAATTGATTATAATCATGACTCATCATAAACTGGGATGTAATTCTAAAATCGTGGTACAAATATTATTCATAAAGATGAGATTTAGAACATAGTTCCTACAGATCGTCGCAATCTACTTTGCAGATCCCTTTACAGATCGTCGCAATCTACTTTGTACCATGTGCACAAATAATACCGTAAGTTAGAAATTTATACAATTAGAGGTCTGTGGCCTATGGAAATGTCATCCAACATTCCACAGTTTTATACTTATAGTAGCATTGGGGATTTGTTGCTCCAGGGCAGAAATGAAGGAAGGTTAGAGAGACAGTAGAAAATACATGAAAGAAGTACTAAAGGAAAACATTAAACAAATATTAATAGATGGTATATATATACCATAGATAGACATAGATAGATAGATAGATAGATAGAATTAGTGTCCTGAATAAGAAAATGAAGTAATTCATGTACCAAACCACTTGTTTATGAGAATAGATTAGATATCAGGAAAAATTTGACCCCAATATTTCTTCCTAAAAGCACGCTAAATTGGTATCTTTAAAATTTCTAGTTCGCATGTTCTTTAAAGCATGATTAAGCTTTTCTTGAAACAGAATTTGAGGAAATTTAAATCGAATATCAAAAGCATTTCCAGCTAAGCATGGCAGATTTTAAAATTCTCAATATTTAATTGCAAACGATGCCATCTCAATTATTTTGATATGATATGAAACTAAATGGAAAACAGAGCGTGTTATAATGTTATTGAAACTGTGCTGTATACATTTATATATTTTTTATCTAAATAAATATGTTTTTAACATTTAAGTGACCTTGTATCGTTCCTCAGTACTTTGTCTATGATATAATGTCGCGGAACCTAGTGAACTATGTAGCGAATTATCGCTGAGTTCAAGTAGTTACTACAGAGCGTTCCTAGGCACGCTGTCTCTCGAAGTCATAGGTCATCACTTTAGTAAGTGGTGTACGACCAAGCGGTCTTCACCACTCTAGATTTGTCCCTTTCGGGTTATCCTGAATAAGAAAATAAGAATTCAAAATTTTGGAACTCCAAGGTATTTTACACATTTTAATTTGGTAACAGTAGCGTTATCCAGTGTGATACTTCTGACGTTTTTAGGTTTTATCTTAAAAATATTACTTGGGGCTTAGCTGTATTAATCTTTATTTTACACGCGATAAACCACTTAGAAAGGATATCTGCAGCAATTTGTAATTTCTCTTTAGCATGATTTGGATTGAGGGAGTTACACATAATAGCGGTATCATCCGCATAGCAGACAAAAATCGTGTTTAGGATATTAGGCATATCATTGATGTATAAACTGAATAAAATAGGAGAAATTAAACATCCTTGCGGTAGTCCTGCGAGGATAAATTTTTTAGCTTAAAGAGTATTCTTAATCTTCACTTGGAAGGATCTGCTGTCCAGATAATTTGCTATGAGGATGATCATTTCTGGAAGAAGCGGTTAAATTAGGAGTTTGAGAAGGAAGCCTGCATGCCAAATCTGGTCAAACACTTTATGAATGTCCAAAAATAGGGCAGCTACAATTTATTGTTTATTGAGATGACACCCGATGTGGTCTGTGATTCTAGCAATCAGCTGCATCGTGGAAATGACTACATTAACTATGGCGTATTTCCAAATAGAAATTAAAACTATTTCCTTCCTGTTTAAATTTTGGATAGCTTTAGTTCCGATGCCGTCAAATCCAGCCGCTTTTCTCTCTCGAAGTAAGTTGAACTTTCCTTAAATACTAACTCGTTTACATAAAACGCGATACTAAAAACTCAATCTGGTAAGGAATAGTAAATGGAAGAAAAGAACAGACAGTAAAGCATGTTTAAACTTAAAATAACTGTCAGAAACTTAATATAATTTCTACAACAATTTCCGAATTCAGATAACATTGTGCTATACCATGCTTAATTTCAAAGTTAAGATGCAATGGAACATAACACATGATATAATAAAACGTGTATCGCAAATCAGTTAAAGTGAAAAACATTTAAAAATATTACTAGGATAAAGCACTATACAAACTGAAACAAAAAATGTGTTCATATGTAGTTAGTTTAATTAGAACATAAGAATATATTTCTTTTTAAATTTCATTGCAGTTTTAAAAATGATCCTCATATAAGCCTACCGCTTATTTTTGCTAAAGTCATCATAACATAAAAATTCGAGAAACCGGAGTCATTTTATAAAATACAGAAGTTAACAAATAAATTACTATTTAAATCACAAACTAGCAAATTAGTAAACATAAATGATTTACTTTTTTTTCTGAACGTTTATCTTTGACATGATCTTGAATAGAATTAGTAAAATATGGAATTTACCTTTGCAGATTTTCTTCTCGTAATCAAATTGCTTACTAGGATTCGAACATCGACAGATAGCTTCCATTCGAGCCATATCGTAGGTACACGTCGAATCTTTATCGTTACCACAAAAATTCCCTTTCCTGCATTTCGTAATTTCAGAGCAGTGGTCGCCAACTGTTCCTGGTGGGCACTCACAAAATTTGAAATCTCCGTGTTCTGTGCAATTACCACCATTTTTGCAGTCACCTTCTTGACACGGCTCTGAAAAAATTTCGAAATCGAAGATATGATGACATACATTATCGATATAAGTACAGATGTTATGGAAACACTTTTAGAATAATAATGCCTAAAATACTGTTATAAATTGTGGATATATGTAAACACTTTTAGTGAAATTACATGTAAATTGTAGTATCCTTTATATAATATAAAATAAAGGGCCTTAGAATGTAAAGCATCAGTGAACAAACAAGGTTATAGTCCTGGAAAATTACAGTTAACAGACAAGGTTATAGTCCTGGAAGATTATAGGTAAAAAACAAGATTATAGTCGCTGGAAAACAAGGTTAATCCCATTTAATATTGGGGAAAATTAGCGAGATAGCATCAAGCCCGCGATGGTTTCGGAGACTAATTTTTGACGCCAAATTTTATGAGAAATTGTCAAACTTGGTGGCCATTTTGCTATATTTTGTTTTGATTCCTGTGTATCGGTAACTGATCCGACCCGTATATAACTGTAACTGCATCCGATCCTACATAACTGTAACTGTGTATCCCTTTCAGCAGTTTCAAGAAATCGAAGGTACTGGAAATTTCACGACTAATGGGTGAAAATTATATAACAATATAGATGCATCAATTTTCAGTTTAGTTTAGAGATGAGTTCAGACTATCAAGAGATAACTGTGCGAGCTTACACACTCGAGCCTTATTATTGCCTGTTCACTGTTAATAGCATTTGAAGTCGTTACTACTCTTTGTGCTCTGTCATGGTAAGAAAAGCTGCATAAATACATTTGTGTGAAAGGTTCCAGAAATGTAAAACATTTTGGGAAAAAAATCATCAAGCTATGTTCCGTTCTGTGTCCATGTAATTTATTACGAACCTGTAACAATATGAAATAAATGCAGAGGGTAGTAGATCACAGTGCTCTGTGTATGAGCTTTAAATTTAAATATTTTTGTGCAAATGTTTTATCTTTATGCATTTCTCAGAACTGCAAACGTGCATTGTGTTTTCACTACCTAAGAGCTTTTGGCAAATTTTCCAGGGATATTGGCTTTCATTTTTCTTTTACTGCTTGTGGAAGTCTATTAATCAGGAGAGATTCGCGGTAAAAAACTCTTTTCAGCTGGTTAAAGGCACAACACTTCATACGTTCATAAGGCATTTTTATGTTAATTAAACGATTATTATGATATAAGTCCATTGTTATAATTTCTCCTTTTTGTACTCCTCACAATTAGCAAATTAGGAAATTGAGTGTTTAAGTGAGAGGTTTTAAATATTTTAATGTTAAAGCATATTTCAAATTACATCTTATCGCCCTGCTCTGCCAGTGATTCTTCAGGCTGTAGCCGATATAACAAATACACCACTAAAAATATACAGCCAGCTTAAGTAGACCATCTTGTGTTCAACTAAGACTGCGTTACTTAAATATGAAATTTCTTCTTATGCTACTTCACTACCCCAAAGTGGCAGAGTTTTGACCGAAAGCACGAGTTGTGCTTTGTGTTTCAATTCAACATTAAATAAAAGAGTTACAAGACATTTGTCATACCATTCTAGACAGCGATAACTCGCTAGTCAGTCTTACACAGTCAGAAGGGCTTTGATTTAATTTCTACGCAATTATGATCTTAAAGGGTAAGTGTTATGACGTTTCGTAGGAAAAGTGTCCATGCTATAGCTGTAACCAGCTGTAGCAATATTTCACGTAGTGCAGCAGTAAACTTCGAAGTACAGCTGGTTTCTTTCTCATTGTGCAGTTTTAAGATCAGAAACCGCTGGAATCGCAAAATCAATTTTTTTTTCTAATATCGGATGCGAAACATTTCCCTTATAATACGACGAGTTCAAAAGAATACTTTTCCTCTCTTTCTACTTCATTGTATGAAGTAAAGGAATATTGTGATAGCGAAAAATTTAGGGTATCGTATTTCAACGAAAATATCCATTTTGATTGCTGTTGAACCCACTTGAACGATTTTGCGTGAGAACTGTACGCGCCGACAGAATAAAGGATTTTTAAAATGGATTCAGAAGAGATTTTTCGTGACGCTTCTGCCTACGTATATATCTCGCATGACTCAAAAAGGGTAGTCGTACAACACTGGAGTTTTGTATACGAGACTGCTATAATATGTAGTTGTGCACCTACATTTTTGGTCACAGTTGGCCTCACAGAACGTACATAAATATATAAATATATCTCTACCTATCCATATATATATATATATATCATAATAAAAGCAAAAGAAAAGACGAACACTGTAGATGCATGATGAGACGCATATTGAAAAAGATTTTGATTGCGTAGTATGCTAGTAATGCTAACTTGGTAATAGCTACAGAACTTAGCAGTCGAGGCAGTTTTAATTCCATTTTTATTTGCAACTGATATTTGTGGCCACAATCACTTGGCACTCTAGTCGTGCCTTTCCACAGGAGATTTACATCTTTGATATTGTTGAGATAGAAAGCAAGCCATCGAAATTATATCCTACCATCGTAGAGAGCAAAAGCTGAAGTGCGTAGTTATGAAAGATGGAAGCACGGCGAAGAGAAAAGTTTTGGTTTACAATGGCAGTTTCAGTTCCCAATTATTACGTCATCAGAGCTGCGCAGGCCATATAGTGATCTAGAAATGACGCAATGCACAGAAGTTATTACGATTTTAGAATAAAGAGGAAGAATTAATGTTTATAGTTTAAACTGTAATTTTGATTCATATATTTTTATCTTACATCTATATATATATATATATATATATATATATATATATATATATTAGATGCAGGGTTTTTCATAGATCATGGGACAGACTTGGATGGGTGGTGGAGCGTACTAAAACATGCATTTTTTGTATAGGAATGTAGGGTCTAAAGAGACGAGATAAGGCAGGAACTCAATTAAACGACACGAGAGGAAACTGTGTTTATGTACAAAATCGACGCAAAGTGCTTCTTTACAGCAATGCAGTATTCACAATAAATGTTCAAAAAGGGAACAGTAATAGGAACTACAGCTGTGATTGGCTGGCAAGAGCGCGGTAGTGAGCCGGACAAACCACGACCGATGCATCAGAGGATCATTCGTAAATCTGATATCCAGCGTGATGGGTGAGTTTACGCACAGGGAAAAAGCTTATATGCATCTCATGTAAGATGCTGCTAATGGAAACGGCAGAGCAGCGCTACGGTTGTACCAGGAACGTATTCTGAGTAGGTGTATACCGAAGCACACAATGTTCGAGAGGTTGTAGCGGTCTCTGTGTGAAAACGGGTCATTTGAAGCCACCTCTAACACTAGGAGTGGAAGAAGAAGTCAACGACAACCTCGCATTGAAGAATCCGTCTTAAACATTGTGCACAAATCACCTCTGACAAGTACAAGAGCTATTGCACGTCGTCTGCAGCTGAGTCATACAAGCGTTTTTAGAGTATTGCATGAAAGTGCTTTGCACCCATAGCATTTGCAGAGTCCAAGCCTTGCAAGACACAGGTTACCCTCTTCGAGTTCATTTCTGTCATTGGTTCTTGCAGCAGTGTGCGGGGCAGGCGGATTTTCCATCAAATGTACTATTCACGGACGAGGCAACTTTCTCACGGGACGGCATCTTCAATACCCACAACGTGCACGTGTGGGCAACTCAAAATCCACACGGCAAACGTCCACGTGCATTCCAAACCCGCTTCTCTGTGAATATGTAGGCGGGTATTGTTAACGACTATCTCATAGGCCCATAGCTCTTACCTGCACGCACAAATGGCTTATGTTATCATATTTTTCTGCAAGAGGTGCTACCGCAATTGCTGCAGGATGTTCCGGCTGTCGTTCGTGATCGATGTGGTTCCAGCGTGATGGTGCACCATCTCATAACCACGTGCGGGTCCGCAATTACTTGGATGGGACATTTCCGGGCCGATGAATTGGCCGTGTTGGACCAGTTCGACGGCCACCCCTTTCGCCAGATTTACTCAGATTGGATTTTTTTATGGGGCAATTTGAAGAGCATCATTTACGAGACTCCCGTTGACTCACTGGAGGACCTCCATGACTATCCATTGCGGCTGCAAGCGTGCGCGAAATGCCTGTCGTTTTTCAGAATGTTCGTCAATCCCTTCTGCGACGTTACCAAGCATGTATTATTGCTGGGGTGGTCGCAATTTTCAACATTTATTGTGAGTATTGTATTGCTACAAAGAAGCATTTTGCATTGATTTTGTACATAAACACATTTTCCTCTCGTGTCGTTTTTATGCGTTTCTGCCTTAACCCGTCACTTTAGATCCTACATTCCTATAAAATATTCATGTTTTAGTACGCTCCACCCCTCGAAGTTTGTCCCATGATTTATGAAACACCCTGTATATATCCCTCTGTTACCGGGCTCGTTGAGCTTAGTTTTTTCTTTATTGTTATTTGTATTTTTTGCTTTAAAAAGAATTGTATTATGTTGTTCTTGTTACGGTTAAGGCTTTTATCCCTTTAGTTAATCTGTATGCAATAGCTGTAGAATTATCAGCAATTTAAAAGTTTTTTAAGTAACACTAAGCCTAACGAAGCCGCATTTGTTTACATTTGAAACTCTTAGTAGAATAGGGAATTAATTCAGTTGACGCACCAACATCACCAACTTCAGTGTCTTTCTGCAGGACCAAATGTAAACGTTCAGTTTTGTTCCATTAAAAATTCGTCTTCCTTGGCGCCGGTCGAGCTTCTTGGTTTCACGTAGAAACTATTTTTATTTGACAAAAAATTAACTGTATTTATCATGTGTTTTTGAATTTTATAATTTTCATGGAGATGTTTTGAGTTTTTATGTATTTTTGCTTTTCCGGGATGTGAGAACTGAGTTGATTAAATAAGAAATTTATATCTAATGAAGTTCGGAAAAATAAATTTAAATGAAATACAGTAAAAATATTTATAAATTAACAAGCCGTGCGAGGTAGTCCTGTTTTACCCACATGAGATTTTTTTTCCTTTTTAATTAACTACTGCAGAAGAAATGTACAACAATCACGAATCCTTTATTGAAATTTTCTTTGCATTATCTGGGCAAGTATTTACAAGCTTTTTGCCTCATTTTCAGAATGAAATAAATAGAGGTCTTTGCTTTAATGCAATTAATATTTCAAATAAGCTAACTCTTCATCAATGATATTAATACATTTCCACTTATCTTCTCTAATTCATATTCACGAATTTTTCTGTGCTCAACCGTTTTGTCTACTGGCGGTGAATATTCCATTTTCAGCTCTTCTAAGCTGGAAAATCCATATTTATTATTTTCTTTATTGTTCTACAGATGCGTTCAAAGACTATGCAACTCCTTTCTGTGAAGGCAGTTTTTCAATTATTTCTGAAGACTTTCACCTTTAATACATCAGAAATTCTAGCTATCTTTTCCAAGTTTTAGAAGTCTTCTTTACACGTAAATTTAATAAAGAATGACTCTTCATTTGCAATCAATAATTTTAATTATACAGCTTTTAGATATTTTACTACAATGCGCTTTTAATGACTCATGTTTTGAAATTATCTGTATTTCTGTTCCAAATGACAACTTCCCGCCAGTTCTTGATGGTTTATTAAATGTAAACCGTAAGAAGAGTGAGTTATAATATTAACGTTACTCGTGCATTTTTCCCTGAAACGAAACAGTGTATCCTAAATTATTTTGGTGTATTATCCAGTTTTACTATCCGTGCGGGTCTGTGCCCAGGCACGCACACTCGAGAGTGTGTAAAATGCTCGAGAATGTGTAAAATTCAAACACGTGCAAATTCTAGCATACTATCAAAACCGCTGAAGTGCGTCTTTAGATGTAGTTTCAGCCAGAGCTATGGAGTCGGTATGTAAAATGATCGACTCCGACTCTGACTCCATCTCTTGGAATTTTAATGATTTCGACTCCCTCATATATATATATATATATGTCACATATACACATGGGTTACAATTTCTTTTTTTAATATAAAAGAAGTAATAGATGCTACAGAAAAAATTAATGGCATAGCAAATTATTTATATTAATTAGCATTTATTATGAAATGGAAAAACTGGCATTCGTTATTTCTAAGAAACAGTATAGCTTCGGGAGGATTTTCTATTTTGGAGGGCCATAGATCCGATTTGATAAACTTCAAAGCTGAGAAGAATCTTTCCACACTAACGTGAGTAAGAGGAAGAGCTCTTACTGTTAAGGCTACTTCTTTTAACTTTTCAGGATAGATTTTTATAAGTTCTAAAACATGTGTCTTGCAAGAGGCAATCATATTTCTCTATTTTTTCAAAGGCCGTATAGAAATCTTGTTTGTATTTTTTCATTTTTATATCTAAAGGCTCTTGTTTTTTATTTTCTTTCGCTTTGCTTTAGCTTTTCAATATTATCCAAAAATATTTCTCAAAATTTAATTCATCAACGAAAAAGAATGATAAAGACTGAATTGCAATGTCTGCAGTTTGACCGTCCAGATTCGAATTTTCCAAGTGTTCTGAGAATAATTTCATTCTTAAAGAAAGTTCATAGATGACTTTCTTTGCCTTCTTAATTTGTTAGTCATTCAAGAAAATTCGGTGTTTCGGATCTCCATATATTAAACGCAGCAAGATCTCATTGTCTAACCAACTAGTTTCTCGTTTCTCTTTTCTTCATTGAAGAAATGATTCCTTCTGCATTAACCCCTTCATTTCAGAAAGAACAAGCATCCCATTCTTACCTCCTGTCAATTCTTCAGATTGCAGCTTTTTTGTGGCAATATACGGCATGGAAAGAAGAGTTTCCAATTCTGCAAGATCATTCCACAGTCTTTTTGTTAGTGAATCATTAGAGTTATCTACATCTCCTAAAATGTTCTTAGTTCTAAAAACCTCTTTATCATCAAATATGTACTTCCTTATTGCATTGCTTGACCAATAATTGCTTCTTTTCCTACTCGCTTTCAAAGCATGGCATCAATTTTAGGAGTTCTTGCTGCTATTGCTTACCTAAATTTACCAGTAAGATTTGTAACTAAATGAATCTGTTTAATCATTAATGGCAAATATCACATCCATCCTCCTCCCTTATACTTATTTATTAATAGAAATAGAAAATAACTATTTATTAATGCATACAGTCCACAAATAAAAATAATAACTCAGCTTGCCATTAAATGTTTTCGTTCATGTCATTAATTAATTGTCATTTCAATTAATCATTTTAATTTCATTTCAAATTTAAACTGTCCAACGAAAACTGGAGTCGACCTGTTTTAATAACTCCAGCCCCGAGTTCTTTTACCCCAAAATTTGCCCGACTCCATGACTCCGACTCCACAGCCGTGGTTTCAACGATTACCTCGTCTTCTCTCTTGCTGAGGAAGATGATGATTTAATGAAGATCTGGAAAATGCGTAATGTAGTGCCATATAAGGAGCAACAAAATCTTCGTAGGAAGTAAAACCGATAAAACTTGTTCTATCATCGGGAAAGATTCTTCCTAATATAGAAATCTAAAGTTTACCTAATTTGAAAATTCGAGACAATAACTGAAGATGTATACCAAAAAAAAAAAAAAAAATCAAAATAGAAAAATCTGCTGGAACGTCGTTCGGAAAAACGTCGAGGAATGATTTCATAATTGTTCTACTAAGCTGCTGATTCAGTGCTTGAGTGACTTGGACATTGTTTCAAATGTGAAAAGAGCAGAAGAGACAGGGACTGATGCTGGAAATTCAAGCTTAGAAAGATATTTGTAGTTACACTAGTCCCGCGAGAGCAATGAATTTGTAGAAACACTGTTGAACTTCGTTGACCAAACGGGATTGGAATACAATAATAAAATAGCACTTAAAAATATGCAGCCAATGACTTTTTTAAGGAAATAAACAATAAGCATGAAAATTGATAATTTTGGTTATCCGCATTTGTTAGTTACCCGTGATCTGCTTTGCCGGCATTACCCCGGATAATCGAGAGTACACTGTACTTCATTTAATTATTAGCTTAAACGCCTTTTTAGAATCTAACTAATATTACTACAATACTATAAATGATTTTAAGGTAACAAACAGGTAATGGACCAAAACTCATCATATAGATTGTCTCACTCGAAAGGGGCCGCGGGAAAAATGCGATAAAATTTTTATAACAAGAGGAAATGAAACCAAGGTTTTACATGATATGTCTTGATGTGTGAGAAATGAAAATACATTACAAGAGTGAATTCCACCATATGTATACACAGTTCAAAATCATATTTCATATTGATGCCAGAGTACAAGTGATATAGCGATGAAGCATTGTTCAATTTCTCAGGATATGTGAACTAACAAAACACGCGTTTATGGAGTAGTGTCAACCAGTAGTCAGTCGTCGAGGAACCACTTCACTCACGTATTAAGATAAGCGTATTCTGTACATTATCATAGCAGCGCATCATTGGACCAATGTTTTTTTTTTTTTTTACACTGGTCAACAGTGAAGCGTACCTGCACTCTTTCATGAATTTGTGAACAGCTGGTTGATGATGAGCTGACACTTGGCTGGTACCAGGAAGATGGGGCAAGATGGCACACGTCTATACCCAGTATGACTGCGGTGGAAATATTTTTCCAAAATTGACTCCCCTTGGAATTTTTATAGGGTCTCTTAAAAGGTAACGCGCGTATAAGCACAAACACGCCCCTTCGACATGTTGCCTCAAAACATCGGCCGTGAAATTTCGCCAGTGGCGCGCAATATTCTGACAGAAACATATGGAAACATGCAGTGCTATGTTGAACTGTGTGTAAAGATGGGAAGAGATCACTTCCAGCGCCTCTCGTAATACACTTTCATTTCTCAAACATAAAGGTATGTCACGTAAACATTTGGTTCCATTTCTTCTTGTTATAAGACTTTATAACATTTTTCTCAGGACCCCTTTTGAGTGGGACACACTGTATTATAAAATCGAGAGCAAAAATATCAGTTAGAGTGAACAGTAACGCCAGGATTAAATACTAACTCATATAAATTTGACGGGAAGTTTGTTCATGAGTAATTTTACAGAAAATGTAAGATTATCATATTTCTTGTTGGCTTTTACGAAGTTTTTAATGAATAACTTTGCTTTAAGTCACCCACTTATTTCCGAGAAAATAATCATGAAATAGAAATTTCAAACATTAAAAACTTCATGTGAAATAAATTTTTCAATGCAAGAGTTACTATTTTAAGGACTAAACTATAAATCATTTTTCGATAAGGAGCATTTGTAACTTTACATGAAGTACTTTTTTCACTAAAAGTTCTGTTATGTCTTGTTGTCAAATAGAACGGGGAGAATGTGGAGTTTACCTCTGCAGATTCCCTCCTCGTAATCAAATTGCTTACGAGGATACAGGCATTGACACACAGCTTCCATTCGAAGAGTATCATACGTACACGTCGAGTATATATCGGTACCACAATATTTCGTTGTCTTGCATTCCGTAATTTCAGAACAATGATCGCCAGCTGTTCCTGGCAGACATTCACAGAATTTGAAATCCCCGTGTCCTGTGCAATTTCCGCCATTCTGACAGTCATTTTCTTGACATGGTTCTGAAAAGTTTACTAAATTATACAATAATCTCTAGGATTGAAATAAAGTTTATTTATCTCTAGGATATGAAATAAATAAACGGGCACTGAGACATTTTTAGAATAATAATGCCTGCAATATTAAATAAACACTAATGATATCAACTTATATTTAGAACAACTTCAGAGGAGTTTGATTAATGTTTACAATGTAATTGCCGCCATTATCGCAGTTCATGAACTTTAAAAACAGGAAAAAAAAAACTTTAAAAACAGGAATTATAATAATATGGAAATTATAAAATAAAAATAACATTACGTAAACTGTAATTAAAATTGATCAGAACACAGTACTGACATACAAAGCTCTTAGAATACAAAGCTCTTAGACCTCCTTATGATAACCGCCTAAAAGTTTCAGAGACCTTCCAGGTGGCATAAGTGTTATACAGGAGTGAATATTTCGTAAGCAATTTGGTGCAGAGCATGGATGAGATTGCCTAATAACAAGTTGTGTCTCTGAGTATTATATAGTATATAGAATGAAGCATTTTTTGGTAACATAAACTGGTATCCAAACTTCTAACAGACATGGAACGAATTACAGCTACTCTGAAGATAACGGCAGAGACTCGAGAAGAATACAAAATAATCTTTTTATCAACCAAAGAACACTGAACATAAAGTGCACGTCTCGGGTTTAATAAGATCAGCCAACCACTTCTTTCAATGTAACTTAAAATAACTGTAAGTTTTAATTTGAAACTGATTAATCAATTAGCGTACTTATTGGTAGTCAATAAGTACGCTAATTGATTTAACACGAACTTGGCTCAAACCTTCTCACCGAAGTAATAGTTTTAAACGATGGCTGCTATAACACAAAGCCGAAAATTTAAATCATATCAGAGCTGGTTAAACCCAGTAAATTGGCCTGAAACCCGCCGTGTCTTACAATTCTAAAACCACGAATATTACACTCTCAAACTAAACTGATTTGCATTCTGGTAGGGAAACAGAAGTAAAGATCTAATTCATGATAATTAGTTATATTAAAATAATGCAGGTGTAACATCAGGATATTTTCTGTATTATATGGTTACAAAGAAGCACTGAGGTGTGCGGTGGGTAAAGATTGCGTGAAGGAGGAGAATGAGCGAGAAGCCTCGAAGTTTACGACCTGTTCGGAACATTGAGTGAACTGCAATTCTCACTGTGGTAAGTAGCGATATCTGCATCTGTCGGGAACAAAGAATTCCCAATCATTGCACTTTCTCATGCATCTTAACTGAGAATATTCACATAAAACCCCCACAAACTGATCTCATTGCATTCCAAAAATTTCTAATTAAAGATAAACATCAGTATCCGAAGTTTCAAAAAATTATGCAACGACTCTCTTTCTACGGCCTAGATCTTTCTCAAGTACGAGTTCTTATGCTGCACAAATTTAGTGAATTTTGAGTTCTGTGAATATATACAAAATAACTGAACTTGTAAACTTAATAAAATGCAATAACCTATTATCACTGAAATAAATGCATGGACAAGTACCCCCTTATTATTACAGTTAAGAGGCTATCATAACTTTATGCTCACAATATTGATTATAATTATCGCATTATGTTTATCTGTACACTAATTGTGTTTACCTGTTATTTATGTTACAACAAAACAGTTGTTCAATTTAATTTGTGCATTTCAAATTGTAATGAGACTATATTGTAATCTCTCTATGTCCTAGATCATTATTTTTAATAAATACTGGATGCGGGGCGTACGGTGGGATTGAACGATGTACCGTAATAGGTAAACACTATATCTATTGCGAAAGGTGGTTCTAATTCTAAATGAAGTGAAATACTTCAACAATCTACAAAAATAATCATTTTATTTACATAGCAACTTTGATTGCATCGAAGGTTCACTGCTAACTAACTACGTCGCAAAACTAAAAACTAACATTCTTTTCTCAGAAGCGAAGCGCCCTCTAACGGCGATACATAAATCATTTGGGGCATTTTTCCACACTCCCCACCTGATAATTTTTGCAAAAATTATCACTATTTCAGCATACATATAATAAAAATAATAAAATATAAGAAAGCAACTTACATATCAAATACATTCAACTGATGTAAATATAAACTGCAAAAGGTAATTCTATAAAATAAACAAATATAGTTAACTGCATCAACTCAAATGTTACTCAATACGTAAATATTAATTCAAATTACAAACAGTAAATTATTAGTAATAACTAAACTAATTATCTGAAATTAATGTTAGTGAATATGAAATACAAGAAGTAAAATTAAAAGGTTACAGAATTAGTTCATTTTCAGTCTGATAGTTCAAGGGGGTATATCAATTGCACAGGTCTCTTAAGGTCCCCTTTTTTAGTTTTTACCACACATGATCGTACAAGACCATCACGTCCTTTGAAGACTTGAATTACTCGACCTAAATCCCAGAGGAACTTAGATTTAGTTGTTCTTTCAAGTAAAACTATATCACCAATTTTAAGATTTTTCTTGGCTTCTGGTGTACCGAAGAAGTGAGCATTTCTTAACTCAAGAAGATACTGATTTTTCCATTTTTTCCAGAACTGTTTTATAAGCGTTGTCTGATATTCTTTTCGTTTTATTAGACTCCTTCTTGTTGGAGAGTTATTCAGGATCTTAGCAAAGTTGTATGGATATTCATCCTTATGTCCGATCAATAGAAAATCAGCCGGTGCAAGCGGTTCAGGTTCATGTAAATCGTTGTAAACGTAGGTCAAAGGACGTCTATTCACAATATTTTCGACCTCTGTCAACACAGTCATAAATTCTTCGAAATTCAGTTGAGCTCTGCCTAATATCTTTTTCAACGGTTCCTTTATGGTTTTCATAAGGCGTTCATAAAAAGCTCGCCACCATGGAGCAAGCTCGACGATAAATTTCGAAGTCAAGCCTTCATTTGCTAGAAAATTTTGAAAGTTTGTACCTTTAATTATGCTGTAAAAATAGTGCAAATCTTTGGCAGCATATTTGAAAGTTTTCGCGTTATCTGAATAAAAGGTGCGACAGTTTCCTCTTCTCGAAATGAAACGTCTGAGAGCCAAAATGAATTTGTTTGCAGACATATTGGAAATGAGTTCTAGATGTAATGCTCGTGTAACAGCGCACGTAAACAATACGATGTATGATTTCTGAATGTCGTTTCCAGACCTGATGTAAACTGGACCTGTGAAATCCACGCCTGTAACATAGAAAGGTGGAGTTTCAACAATTCGATCTTTAGGTAACTGAGCTGTCATTTGTTTCGCTGGTTTTACTGCGTATTTCCAACAAATTAAACAGTTCCCTAATACTTTCTTTACCAACTGACGGCCTTTAGGAATCCAAAATTTCTGTCTTAGTTTGGCTAAAGTTGCTGCAACTCCCGCATGCAGAACGTTATTATGTTCCCTTTTTACAATTAATTCAGTAAATTTGGAATCTTTAGGAAGAAGAACTGGATGCTTCTCGTCAACTGTATATTCGGTTTCTTCTAATCTTCCCTTAATTCGGAGAATTTTATTTTCATCAAGAAACGGTGCCAAGCTGAATATATCAGAGCTTGGAGAAATTGACTTGTTAGATTTAAGAGCCTTAATTTCAGGTGTGAAGAAATCCATCTGGGATTTACGAACACAAAAAATTTCAGTGTCCTGAATTTCAAAGGCACTTAATGTTCCACTATTAGCAGGCAGTTTTCTTGCCTTAGCAACGAAACGCCTAACCCATGCCATAATTCTGAGATATTTCAGCACATTACTGAATTTTGTTATATCCAATAGTTGATCATCTCTTTTCACAACAACGTCATAAACAGATATCTTACTATGGAGTTCTAGTTCCTTATCGTTTCTCACGTCAAACTTCGGTTAAACTGGCCAGTCTATACGTTTGTTTTGCAACCATTCTGGTCCAAACCACCAAAGTGAACAATTTCTTAAATTAGCAACAGTAGTTCCTCGTGATACGAGGTCGGAGGGGTTATCTTTCCCACGGCAATAATGCCAATTATTGCTTTCAGTTAGTTTCTGAATTTCATAAACTCTGTTTTTGATGAAAGATTTAAATCTTTCGGGAGATCCCTGAATCCAAAAATTCGTTATTTGAGAATCAGTCCAGTGGAAGGGGATTACTTCGTATTTTAAAGATTTTGCTATTTTATCACTCAATCTAGCGGATAAAAGCGCACCCAAAAGCTCCAATCTAGGAAGTGTAAGGGATTTCAGAGGTGCAACTCTACTCTTGGAAGCAACAAAAACTGTTTGAAAAGTTCCATTGTTCAAAACTATTCTCAGATATACCACGCATCCATAAGCTTTCAAACTAGCATCAGAAAAGCTATGGAGTTCTATTTGTTTCACATCTGCATCTAATATTCCTTCTAAATAGTAGCGGGGAATTCTGAGGTGGTTCAGTTCTTCAATTTCTTCGTACCAGGCTTTCCATTTATAACTAAGATCAGGTGGAAGTTCATCGTCCCAATCAATTTTGGCAGACCAGATTTCCTGAATCAGACACATTTTATTCTTATAGTGAAAAGGGCCATAAAATCCGACAGGATCAAAAATACGGCCTGCGGTTTGCAATAGAAAACGTTTTGAGTTGATTGACGAGGAAATGAAATGAATTTGTCAAGTGCTGAGTGTTAAAATAAAAATTATCATTATCCGTATCCCAGTTAATTCCTAACACTTTGATCGGGACAACTTCAGGATATTCTTGCATCGAAAATTCTTTGTGATGCCAAATATCTTTGAGGTCTTTGGAATTAGTATGCCACTTATGTAGTGACATGCTAGCTTCATTAAAAATGTTCACAATTTCTAAACTTGTTTTCAGGGCTTGTTCTAAATTTTGGTGACCACCAATAATGTCATCAACATACAGGTAGTTGTTTAAGAGTTCTACTGTTTCAGGATATATTTCTGAATATTTTTTAAGGTGATGCTTAATAGTAGCAGCTAGAAAAAAGGGACTAGA